CAGTCCTTCTTGGGCACCGCCTTCGGGGCCTTGGGAGCACCCTGAGACTTGAAGGGGGGCTTTGAGACCTTGGGCTGCTTGGGCTGATGAGGTGGATGCTTGGGGAGCGCGACGGCGCGCTCGGCGTCGAGGCGCGCCCGAAATGCTTGCAGCTCCTTCATGTATTCGCCCTGCGCCGACAGCCAGCGAGGATCCACTAGGGGTGAAAACGGGGTCTGGGCCTCGCGCTCCGTGTGACGACTGGTCACGCGACACGGGGGAGGCTCCAGCCCCGTGAGGAACCAAGCGGCCTCGAGGTAGCCGCGGTCCCCCGCCAACTGGTCGATGAACATGCACTGGCAAGTCAGCAAGGTCTGGACCCTCTCGGGGTTGCCCTCCTCGCAGGCCCGCCACAGCTCGGCGCTGAGGAAGGCAAAATGCGTCAACAACTCGTGCGTCGACGGCTGAGCCCCGAGGGGGCTGTGCTCGCGAAAGTACTGATGCATGGCCATGGGGGTCACGGCGCTGACTTCCACGCCCAGAACGCGGGCCAAATTCTCCTTCATCAGTCCTCGCACGTCGGGGCCGTGCTGCATCAGCGCTTGCTGCCACTCGCGCCTCCGAGCGATTCCCCCCATCTGAGCCGATGCGTGCGCGGGGTCGCCCGAGGTCGCGGGCGGAGTTTGAGCTTGGTCGCTCAGGGTCCCCAGAAGCGGGTGGAAGGCTGGGCGATGGCCCCGCCCCTGCTGCAAGGAAAGGGACTGGTGCAGGCACTGAAGCATGAGGCTGAAGTCCGTCGGATTGGCCGCAAGGGGCGGCTCTAACCCGTCGGCGCCGCCCGCCTCGGCAAAGCCGTCGACCGCAGCGGGATGGGCTAGCCCAGGCGGCGGCGGGGGGCCCATCGGTCCGGAAGCGGACGAAGGGGCCCGAGGGACAGCAAGAGAGCGCGCCTTCTCCCACGCCGAGACCAGCGCGGAGGTGGGTCCCTTGGGGCGCGCGGAGACCCGATGTGGGGCCACGGGCGCGTGGGACAAGACGGCCTCGATCCCCGCAGGATCCAGCCCGAGGCGCGCCGCCTCGTCGCTGAAAAGCTGAGGCACCTCGGGCCGAGCGCTCCGGGCAGCCGGAGCGGGGCCCAGCGGTTCGGGTCCGCCGACCATCGTGGAGGCCGCGTGGGCTGCAAGCAAGGCGCGCATTTCGGCAGCTACCTCGGCGCGGGTCATGGGAGCCCCGTCGTCCAGAGACGCCGCAGGAGCACCAGGAGCAATCGGAGCAGGACCCGCGACCCGTGGCGGCGCGGCGGCGCCAGCGCGCTTGGCGGGCGGGCCGCGCGGCGCTCCAGCGACCGCGGGGGCTCGCGCACTTGGGGCCGCGCGGTCGGCTTCCCCGTCGGCCGCGAACCCCTCGGGCTCCTCCATCTCGTCGGCAGAGTGGTAGGGGGTAGCCCGATCGGCCCCTGGGAGAGGCTCTTCCCCTGCGGTAGGCGGGGCGCCGTGCAAACGAGCGTAGCCCTCGCGAAGCACCCGAACCCCCGAAGGATGCGGCCAATAGACGCGGCTGCGCACCTCGGCGAAGGGAACGATGCCTGCGTCGTCGCCGACCTCTAGAGGGTACAGCGACTCGAGCTCGAGCTCGGCAACCTCGATATCTATAACGAGGACGGATGCGGTAGTGGCGAGCGGCCGTGAAGCGGCCCCCTGGAGCTGGACGTCCACTAGCTGGAAGGGGCCTATCATCCCAGCAAAGCCATCCGCCTCGGCAGCCTCGAGCTCCGCTGTAGAGCGAAAGGCACCAGGCAGGGCCAGCAGGATGCCCCCTTCTCGAGAGGCGAGGGGGATAGCCGCCCAGCTGGTGTCGCCGTCGTCTAGGCGCCATCGTGCGTAGTCGCGCGCCGTGGGCGCAGCGAAAGGGTAGAGCTCGGGCCAAAGGGGCCCTCCGCCAACTGGTGGCAGCTCCGCCATCAGTGGGCGCCGCCGTGGACGCCGCCGCCCGCACGCTGGGCGTCTGCCCGCTCGAGCGCTTGAGGTCGAGGCGGAGCCCCGTAGGCCAGCGCTCGCGCCGCACGGCGGTCCTGCTCAGGTGAAGCAGAAACCGCGCCGCGCGGCCAGGCGGAGGGCCAGAGCCTCCGCCACACGTACGGGCCCAGCAGCCCGAGGCAGCAGCCCGCGCAGGCGCTGCAGGCGGCCGTCACCCAGAGGAGGGCGGCGACCGTGCTGAACAGCCAGGGAGAGACCCCGCCGCTCAGGTCCACCGCCAGCCCGAGGCAGACGGCGGGGCAGGTGGAACCCGCCGAAGGGAGAGGGCAGGAGGCCCCCTCACCCTCGGACGAGTCCGCCTGCTGGATGGACCAGGCAGGCGATGGAGGCCCCTGGTCCTGAAGCACAGAGAGGGGGGCAGCCACGAGCCGCTCGTAGAGCGCGGCCCGCAGCCCCCTGAACAAAATCTCCCCAGCGCCCTGGAGAGCCGCTTGTGCGACCGCCTGCATAAGGCGCCCGCACGCGCGGCCGACGGGGGGCACTTGGGCAGAGAAGCTGCGGAGACAGCAGGAGCTTGCTCACAGAGAATAGAAGAGGCAAGAGGAGGAGGATGAGGAGGAGGACGCGCACGGGAGCGCACGCGCAGGGAGAGAGGGAGGAAGAGGAGGGCGGGAGGAGGGGGTGAGAGGGTCGGTGTGGTCGTTGTGTGTGGGTCCACAAGCAACTCGGGCAAAATATCGTTTCGCGCAACTCTGCGGGCAACCGGCGCATGGCGCAAGGTCCCTCCCCAGGAAACTGCCCTGGTGGGGGGGAGCCTGCAGTCGGGTTCCGCCGCCTGCGTTGGGAGGCCCAAGCACATGTCGCGGGCAAGACTCCAGAGGCGACCCCCAGGTCAGAGTCCGAGAGTGGCCGAACAACCACCTGGGGGGAAGCCCATGAACAATCGTTGCAGGCGTAAGGTCGCAAGGCGTGCCATCCGCACGCTTGCGGATGGCGGTGCAATGCGATATGCCAAAGATCGGCTGCTGTAGGGAAGCGGGTGCGGGAATGGCAAGCGCTGGGCGGGGATGGCTCCAGCGGGGCTACTTCGGGGTCCCTTGAACCCGCTCACATCGGGAGGCGCGGAGACAACGGAGACGCAAATGCACTGGAGGGGACCCGGCATGGGGACCTGGGCCACGATTGATCCTCGGTCCTGGGCGGAGGGAGGGAGGAGGAAGATGTGGACTTGGTTGACTGGTGCGTTGGATTACAATAGAAAGAATGTGGAGGTACGTTTGGACCCTCCATTATGGACGTCTTCGTTGGCCGAGGGTCCATGAAGGCGTCCTCGGCCCCATGCCAAAGCCAAAACAGCAGAAATTGCTAAGGTGGTGGGGACCCATACGGCCGCATGAGCGACTTGGAACCAAATCGGGACCACGGCGCGGGCAGTAGGGATGACCCCGTGTTGGTTGGGCCCCGTGAGCACCGCACGCACTCACGGAGCCTGTTGGAACCGAGAGTGGCTAGGGTACCCACGGGGCGCACAGTGAGCACGCGACTGCCGTGGAGCCTGACGGAACCATGGAATTCACGTGTCCACGCTGGCGAACGTCGACGCCGTCCGCGATCCACTAAGTCCTGTACGTTGGAGTCCTGACGAAAGGAAACCTGAAAGGAAGGAAAGGGGCCCCGAAGGGAAGGGAAGGGCAGGAGGAGAGGGGGAGGAAGGGTCGGCGGTCCGAGTGGCCCCGAGGGACGAGGAGAGGGGAACAGGGCAAGCTAGGGGGCGCTCGCGTCATATGTGGCGTCTTACCCCTCCCTTCCATCCCTTACCATGGCGCAGATAGCCTCTCTATCCGCACAGTCGGATGTCGAGCAGGGCAATGATCTCGAGAGGGCACGCGGTGCATGGTAGAGCACGGCATTGCGGCATGGCATTGCGCAGAAGAGCGCGGCAAACCGTAGCATGCCATAGCGTGGCGTGGCATTGCACAATGAAGCATTGCATCACAAAGCATTGCAACGCAAAGCATGGCATCGCGCAGCGGCGCAGAACACAACACCGCACAGCATGTCAGGGCATGGTGCCAGGCCAGGTCCTTTGGAGGGTAAGTGGATCGTCTTCGAGGGGTCTGGTCCGGTCTGGAATCGTGGCTCCATGTCTAGCTCCTTCGGCTCCCCGAAAAGCTCCACGCAAGGCGGGGCTGATGGAGAACACCCGCTGGTTCTGCTTTCAACATCGCGTTCTCAATACAGAAACGGGGCTCCCACTTGACACTTGCAGAAGACGACGACGCCCCAAAGTTGGGGGGGAGGCTTCTGCGGCCCCAAACATCAACGAATCGACACCGACTGTGCATTCACTTCCGATGTTTTTTCGAGGGGCCGTTGTCAAAATGTTGGGCCTACTTGGAAGCACCGAGAACGCCCGCGCTGCAGCGGAAGCACGTCTTGGAACAACCAGAGGCGCAGAAGTGGGGCCAGCGATTCAGCGGGAGCAACATCTTGAACAACAAACACAAGCGAAAACCCAACTCCAGGGAATCCTGCGCGTAGAAACAATACGCGGAGGGTGGCCGGTCATCTTCTGGACTTCATCAGGGGAGAGAGGAGAGTGGTATTCAGATTGTGCAATTGTGGAGGAAAGTGGGAAAAAGGGAAAGTAGACGGACCAAGGAACACAACAAAAGGTCGTCCTGGCTGCGCCGGGAAACACCCCAGGACGACGTTGAGGACAACGGAGACCTGAAAAGAAAGGACAGCATGGCAGGGCGTTTTATTTCCACATCCTTCCACGAGCCTACCTCCGCCGACAGCCAGGAGAGGACGCCAACGGAAGAACCCGCCGCCCGCCAGCCCTGCTGCCGCGTGCGTCCCCAGGACCGCGCCGCCCGCAGCTTCCAGCGTGGCCTTCGCAACGCAGGCACCCTGAGTACGCGGCATCGGTCGGACGGCGTGAGACTTGAGCCAAGAAGGTACTGATGTGGAGGAGAGTGGAAGGATGGAGCAAGGAGGGGAGGCTGCAGTGACCTAACCCCGTTGCTCCCCTCCTCCGCTGGC